ATACAATAACGAACGTCATGGACACATGCTATCCCCAGGGATTTAGTGGGAGAAGTTAGTTAAAAGACTACTATTGAACAGTGCGATAAGTGAGGAGGTTTGTTAAAACCTAACACATAATTAGATGAATCTGGTTTGAGTGAGCACCAGAAACAGTGCTCCTAACAAACAAAAAAATGTCTTTTGCCACAGAGCCATCACAAGTCAGGGGTGGGTTTTACTAGGGCTTCTGAAAAGACTTTCTCCCCTACATCAGTCAAGGGAGCATCTCCCCCATGCCTGGTTGTGGGAACAACAGACCCTGGCTGGAGACCCACTTCCCCATCAGCCTGGGAGCAGGCAGCTGTGAGACAATGTTTACTGAAAACATGTTTACTGAAAACAATCCAGTGCCCTAAGAAATGTTTACCGGAGCTATAAGTTCCCTATAAGGGCTCCATAAGGGCTCACTCACTGAAACACCCTGACTTTGATCTTTCCAATGGTTAGCCGCCTCTTCCTGCCCCCTGCTGCTACTGCTGATTCTGGTGTCAGGGATATAATCACCAGCCAGGAGGAGGGTGTGTGTGTGTGTGTGTGTGTGTGTGTGTGTGTGTGTGTGTGTGTGTGGCAGAAGCTTTTCTGGAGGGAAGCGTTTCTTGGGAAGTTCTCTTGAGCCTTCTTGGGGAGCATAAAGTTTTCTTAATGCAACCGACTGGTCTGTGTCATCAATCCCGACACCCTCGCCACATTCTCAGATACAGGCTGCACAACGGGCGCGGCACCTGGTTATTTTCTGGACCCAGCTAATACCTCATAGTATAAGATACCATTGCTTTTTGCAAGGGACAGGAGTCTCATCAGATGGTGGGGAAGAGGCAGATAAATGAAAGCTGTAAATCAATATGAAGAGTTGAATTATAGTTCAAACAGGCAATGATTATTGTCACCAAAAGGGACTACTAATATTGCTACACAGGATTTGTAGCAGCAACCAAACATTTCTGGATTGTAGGAATTATTCTAAATAGGAAGTAATATTACACACACACACACACAGAGAGAGAGAGAGAGAGAGAGAGAGAGAGAGAGAGAGAGAGAGAGAGTAACCCAGTCTCATCCTGCTTCCGGGCCCCTTATATAACTAATTAATGCAGATACCTCATGAATGTTGCACACCCCAGGAGGTCCTGAGATGGTTTTTTTATTTCTGATAATATTCAGAAATTAAGAACTATGGGGGAAGGGCAAAAAAGTGAAGAACTCTGCACAGGTGTGTAGGAATCTAATAAGGGAAGCACACTGCTTGCTACTGATGAGGGCTAGCTCTGTCTTCAGTGAGCACCAGTTTCACTAACAGCTAGCTCACCTGATGCCTCCTCTACATTTAACTAAATGCAATAGTGCACCACATAGATTCCCTTGTAAGAATTCTCATTTCAAAGCATTGCTTCTGTTTTCATATTTTACTAAACTCACTTGCTAAAGACCTTCTCTGGATATTATTTTGCATATGGATGCCGGTGCTTTGCAGAGTCTAAGGTGTGGTGTCCGGGTGGGTAAGGAACAAGCCCCCATCTACTCTGGAGGTGTTTGCTGCTGACAGTTTATGGTGACTCGACTTATCCTGTAGGCTGGGGATTCTTCAACTTTGTGCAGTGACTGCTCTACACAGATGCTGACCATTTCAGTCCTCCAGGCCATTAGGTAGACCTTTGAGACATTCAAACACTGTGATACTTGTTTCTTTGTCCGTTTGTTTGCTTGCTTGTTTGTTTTAGTCACTGCAATTGTCTTCTAATTTGCCAGTGTACAATATCAACAGTAAAAACAAGATGCACTCTTACAGTGGGGAGTTAGTTATAACAAGCTCTGCCCACCATCCTTTGATAGTCCTGAAATGTAGAATTTTGGAAGCAGCTCAGTGTGTTTAAGACTTCATGGGCAGAAGACTGGCGCTCACCACATGGCAGAACAAAGGCAGATTAGAAGAGAGGAGCGACAGTGGAGAGTGAAGTCATGGTTAGATTACACTTTGGGATGCAGTTACGTGAAAGACAGTGAATACCTTCTTGGAAATGAAACAGAACCAGGCTTACATTTCAGCCTGAGGAATGAATGTAAGATAAAAGGATGCAACAGGATTGCTCTCCTGCTTTCAAGGCACTTAACTTTATAGTATGAGAGGCTTGCTGATGTGTCCATCACAGTCTGCTCTGATTCAGGGTCATCATGACTCCATCTGCCATACTCATTATGTTCATGTACAAGTACATAGCACAGTGCCTCACAGAGTGGGCTCCTACATAGATGCCGTTGGCTCTGCCTTGCTGGCTCAAGCAGTGATGATCAGGACCAGCAGGCTGATGTTCTCTGGCAGTTATTGTGTGTGAAACTAGTTTTCTGACTTGGGAGGTCATAGAAATCTTAGAGTGTAGAGCTGGGATGTGCTCTGCCCATTTTTCACTCCTTGCCCCATCCATCTCCTTCTGTTCTAAACTGAAAAACTCACACTGCCTTCCACACAAACAGTTGACTTGCTCAGTTTTCAAGAAGGAAGTCGCACTGGTTATGTTTTCTTGGAGCTTAGATCTGTAAGGTATCCTTTCATATAACTACATCCTATGGTGTGGAAGATTCCCGGATGTTATTAATTCATTGTTATTCTTGATTAGTCACTTGTAAGTTGTTTTTTTTTTTTTTTACTTCTTTGTACTGTCATCTTCCTTCCGTCCAACTACACACCCTGCCTGAATCAGACAAAAGACCAATTAGTGGCCTTTTTTTGGGGCCTCTTCAAACTTTTCAAAAATTTTGAAATAGAGAAAAGAAAGGAAGACAGTGCCCTTGCTACTTGTCTGAATTTAAACAATATCACAGACTTATTAAAAGGGGGAAGGGGACGCGTATGGGAGGGCTTGGAAGGAGAAAAGGGAAGGGGGAATTATGATGTAATTATATCGTAACTGCAAAAAAAATGAAAGAAAAACTTTTAAAAGGATTGAACGAGTTAATGAACATGTTTTTGTGGTAGTTTTGTTTTGTTTTGCTTTTTTCTTGAGAGAGAGAGAAAGAATATAAAGTTGGGTGGGTAAGGAGGGGAGAATCTGGGAGGAATTGGGGGAGGGAAAGAATATGACCAAAATACGTTGTATATAAAGAAAGAAATCAATCTCCAATCTGTGTTTAATGCCATGTCTTAACCCACCGTGTCAGTCATGAAACCATTGTGCCCTAATTCTGAACTCCAAAGCCACCTAGAGACCCATTCCAATGCAAAAGCAAAGAGTTTTTATTATTAACAAGTTAACTGCATTAACTCAGGCCCCTTGTCCATCCAACATGGCTGCTGGGCTGAAGTAAGAAGGACCCCAAGGCAGGGGGGGGTGGGCAGGCAGGGTTATTGTATAGGGTAAGGGGAGTGTCTAGGGGTCTGCAAATTTTCAGGATTGGTGGGCTTCCGGCCTTGGATGGATTGATTGTTGTGTTGATTGGTTAACTGTGTTGATTGGTTAACTGGTTGTTATGGCCTGTAGGCCCTCCCAGGGTGGTTGCTATGCTCTGTACGGCACTGTTACACCACTTTTTCCATAAAGCGCATCAGCTAACTTCTGATTGGTTCCTTGCCATGTGGAGGCGATCTGACCTAGGGCAGCTCTGGAAAGGCCAGAAGGCAGGAAACTAAGCACAAGTGCTGAGTCAAGAACCTTTGTCTTTGCTGTGTCTGTTCCGCAGCCTGTTATGGCTGCTTAAGCAGGGGGCTGGGTGAGGGTCTGGTCCCTTCAAAGCGGATACACTTCAGGAATAATTGCGTTTAATGAGAGGATTATTTTGTAAAGAGAAAAAAAAACCGGAGCAGTCATATAGCGCCACACTACAGAGATTTTTTTTCGTCCATAGAGTTGGAAAGATACAATAAAAGTTTTGGGTAAGAGTTGGACCTTGGGTCTCAGTCAAGAAACCATGGTCTCATATAGAGGAACACAGCAACCGCCACCCAAAAGCCTAGCTGGGGTGGGAGATACATAACTCATTTCTCTTTCCTCCCACCCTATGATGATGAATCCTACTGGCTAAATTAATTGGAGGTCCGGATCCTGGGCCCCAGAGGCAGGGAAAAGGTTAAGGGATGTGAAGGGCTCTAGCAGGACCAGGCATGGCAAACACGGCAACCTGTTGTCGCCATAGAGACACATCTAACTCACACAAAGGTCTGCAGTCGGTTTTGCTGCGGTGCGCTGAGGTCAGCAACCACCAACTTCACAGCCCCCCTGAGAGCGAATGCGGGGCCGCTGCAGAGTGGCCGGGGTGCACCCGAAGCTTTAATTTTCCCAGCCTATAGCATCCCAGCAAGGCCTTCTTTTTGTAATCAGAATCCAATTACCAGTCTACATGAGATGTACCTGGCAGTTATCTTTTTCCGGTTCAGGAATTGTCACATCCCTCTGAAAATCCGGGCCTTACGCCTCAGTTATCCAACACTGTGGAGCAGCTCAGGCCAGGAAATGAAGGCTCTGGCTAAAAACAGAGAGATTTAGGAAGCCAGGACATGATTAACCCTGTGGCATTTTGCCAAATGGGCAGTTAACAACTAAGGCCGTGAAAACAATTGCTGATCTAGTGACCACTGGGCTTACAAAGGGGCTTTAGACCCAATCCCAACAATGTACTGTGACAACCAGAAAATGCCAAGCCTACTGTAGTTAGAGCTATGCTGCTTTTTTCTAAAAAAAAAAAAAAGTACTAGTCTAGTCAAAATTTATTTATCTGTGTATTTGTGAGTAAAGAAAAAAAAGACCTGTAAAATCAGCTTTTTAAAATTCAGCAGACAGAAAATCCTTAGACGTTGTCTATGAAACATAGCATTAGACTTGGAGGCTACTCGGGGTTTCTAATGGTTAATGCTTTCATTTTTTGTTTCTGTTTATTTTTAATACCTTCACTGTCGAAGACATGCATTGGCCATATAATATTTTTTTCCAGCGTCACATACAAGGAACTGTTCCAACCATTGTTTTCAGGTCTCAGCGGTGCTATGCCAGAAGGAATGCTAATCGGAATCGGCGTACCAGTTTCAAACACAGCTGTGCTCCCGAGCTGGGAGGCAGAGCTTGCACCGGCTCCAACTATCCTCGGCAGAGCTCCTGGCCATCCCGGTGCTCATCCCTTTCTGGTAATGAGAACTGCGAGGAGAAGAAGAAGCGCTTGAGAACGAGAGGTGTCCGGGTAAGGGTTTCTGACGAAAGCCGAGCTCGGTCTGGGGATTCCGACTGAACCAGACAGCCAGGTGCTGTGCCGACATTCACTGTGTGTGCCCCGAGGGTGGCTAGAGGGACAAACGCCAAAGATGAAGCAGGCAACTAACCGGGCAGTAAGTCAAGAGCCAAGGGGACAAGCGTCCTGATGGAGAGGACGCGCCCTCTGTAAGCGCTGGGGGTGCGCGGGATAGGAGTGAGCTGGAGTGTGGTGCTCTCACTAAAGGGGGACAGAGGTCCTCAGGAGGGGGCCTCGGGGACTGGGGACAGATGGTGTGGGGACGGGCAGGGTGAAACTCCCTGGATTTGTCGGCAGTGCGGTCAGACTTACAGTGATCCAGGCCCCGCTGACTTCCGAAGTTCTACAGCAGGAGCTCGGGGCGCAAGAATGGATACGGGCGACGGGTCGGGGATGGCATTGGACGAGAGGGTAAGGCACCCACCCGCACAACAAGGTAGAAGGGCCTGGCTAGAGCCCAGGGCAGGCATGGAGGACACTTGGAGTGCTTCAGCCCCTTTGCCTTCTGGACCCCACTATCCTTTGGGGTCCCTCGCCGTCCATGCTGGGTGGCCAGTGGCAGACAGAACTGTGCACAAGAGGGAGCAGACAAGGGACAATGGGAATCACGGCCATCAATGGAGGCCATCCATCTCCAGCTTCTAGAAAATGCCTTTCGTAAAGAACTTCAGTCTAGCTAAACTTAGCTAAACTGACATGTTCACTCTGATTTTATTTTTTACATCCAATCTCTCTCTCTCTCTCTCTCTCTCTCTCTCTCTCTCTCTCTCTCTCTCTCTCTCTCTCTCTCTCTCTCTCTCTCTCTCTCTCTCTCTCTCTCTCTCTCTCTCTCTCTCTCTCTCTCTCTCTCTCTCTCTCTCTCTCTCTCTCTCTCTCTCTCTCTCTCTCTCTCTCTCTCTCTCTCTCTCTCTCTCTCTCTCTCTCTCTCTCTCTCTCTCTCTCTCTCTCTCTCTCTCTCTCTCTCTCTCTCTCTCTCTCTCTCTCTCTCTCTCTCTCGGAGCCTGTCCTGGAACTTCCTCTGTAGACCAGTCTTAGTCTTGAACTCACAGAGATCCACCCACCTCTGCCTCCCAAGTGCTGGGATTAAAGGCGCGCGCCACCAACACCCCGCCTACATCCAATCTCTTGTTCTGGCGTTCTCAGGGGCTCTCGGCCTTCCAAATTTTCTCTCTCCTAGGAGACCGGCTGTGAACGGAAAAGAAAGGCAGCTGTGTCCCGGTGGCAGAGCGCTTGTCTTGTACCCACGAGGTCCCGGGTCCAACCTCCAATGCTTAACTCAAAATCAAAAGGACGGTTTAGCCTTCTTCGAGAAGTCCCCTCCCGCCACGGCTCCAACCTCCCTCGGGGGAGCTGATGCCGGAGAGCTGACATCTGATGGGATAGTCACGGACACTCCACTGGCTTTCCAGAGTCGTGCCAGCCCCAGGTCCCTCACCTCTGAGCACCAAGTGAAGCTGGCGAGCGGTGGGACCGGGACCAGGATTGTGACAGACTGGACTGGAGGGTCAGTTAGCGGGAGAGCAGGGGTTGTGTCTGGAGAACACGGGGAGGAGGAGAAGGGGGGAGGTTTCCCGGGTGGAAGTCACAGGGCCACGCGCTGGCTGCACGGATGGAACCCGAGCAACAGCTCCTTTGCTTCTCTCCGCGTCCACCTGGGGAAATAACTTCAGCCGCCTTAGGAAGGAAGGGAGCCTCCCGGTTCTGGACTCTTCACGCGGCGAGGCCGTCTTCTGGCCACCTCGTTCAGGCTGTCACCCCCTTCCCGCACTGCCCCAGCAGCTGGGTGTTTGGCACCTTCTCAAACGCCCAAGGGATGGATGCTCACTGCTCAGTGAATCTGCTCATTACTCTCCGGACAGGGCTTGTTCTCACACAACTGCCCTTGACAGGAGGTTGTCATTTGCTTCCTCCTAGTTTCTGTTCACTGACGCCAGTTTTATCCCTCTGGCGTCTCCGGAGAAGACAATTTTTTGCTTTCTCAAATGAGAGTCCTGGCAGGTTTCAGCGCTTTTTTCAGGTTGCCGCGAAGGCTTCCCTTTGTGAGGATCACGCGTCCTCCTCAGCTCTTCAAGCACTCCCGGTTCTCGTCCCTCATTTGCTCAAACGCACATGGAACAAGCAGAAGCAGCACACCGCGTTCCCGGAAGGAGGCTGAGCACAGCAGGGCCTCACTGGAGCCGCACACGGATGGATGCGCGTCCCGCAGCCCACGGCTGCGTGCGTCTCTTTAGTCCAATGAGGTTATAATCCCATCGTCCTGGACGCCAGCGTATTACCACGATGGGGCCGTTTCCCCCTCATTGTTTTGCTATCGTTGGTACACACGAACTCTGTCCTGAGTAGACCTTCGTCGGTGTTCTGGGGATCAACTCCGTCTCTTTCTAGCACCGGGATCGTTTTTCATTACCAAGTATCCGGGCTGGATCTTTTACTTCCCCTGTGGAGGTCTCAGTTTAGCGTGGCTGTATCTATTGAGTCTTTATCACGTCTTGTAGTCGTATTCTGTGCCAAGGTGTGCTGAGGGCATAAAGATGAATATGGTATGATTCCCCTCCTCAGGAAGTTTGCCAGCTGGAAAGAAAAGGTGCCTTTATAAAAGACACTGCTCGCCGGACGTCAGTGGCGCATGCCTTTAATCCCAGCACACGGGAGGCAGGGGCAGGCGGATCTCTCTGTGAGTTCGAGGACAGCCTGGTCTACAGAGCGAGTTCCAGGACAGGCTCCAAATCAATACAGAGAAACTCTGTCTCAAAATAAGTAAATAAATAAAACACATTGCACTATGGGAGGTACTGTACCACTTAAATGTAATTACACTGGAGACACAGATGAAGGATCTTTGCCCAGAGTAGAAGTTAGGGAAAGGTTGACAGGAAGCACTGTTGTGAACAGCAGGGGAGAGTTAGAAGGAACTGCAGACAGTCCGTGTAGACAGAACGGAAAGACAGGAAGCACTGCTGTGAGAGAAGCCACTGACTACTTGAAAGTGGGGGGGGGTTGAAAGCTTTGCTTTTGAATATGGACTTAGCTCCGTGGGCATTGGGAACCTTGGAATGTTTTAAGGTGTGTGTGTGTGTGTGTTTAACAGATTTGTGTTTATCACTTTGGCCTCTATTTAGGACAGAAAAAAAACAATATCATAATTTGACTACTCCGAGCATAGGTATTTGTGTTAGAAATGCTTATGAGCCTGACATGAAGCTCAAGAAAGCTATTCAGGTCCTTAACTAAGACAGTCGTAGTAGAACGGGATAGATAAAATTTATCGACTATAGAAAGAGAGCTGAGAATGACAATAAATGATGGTAATAACAAAAGTCAAAATTAACTTACAGAGATCGAGAGGAACAAGCCACGAGGTAGGTGACACATGACTGACAGATGGAAGAGATCTGAGGAAGCAGGAGTTCAACTTTTAACACGTGGGATTTGAATTGCATACTGAACATCATGCAAAGAATTTATGAACTTGGCTGTCACAGGGAAAAACCAAGCTATTAATAAGGACCTTGACTTCCTCAGTGGGAGTTGAACTCATGAGAATGTTGAGCCTGAGTTAGAATCCATAAAGGAATCACTTTGGAATTCTTAAAGCAAGTTTACAAACAAGTTCAGCATATATTTTTGACGGACACACACACACACACACACATCACACACACATTATATATTATATAAATAGCATGCCTGGCTCTAGTAGACAACTGAGTATTGAATTTTAACATTTTTTTCACTAATGTGAGGGCTTGAACTGCTATCCTAGGCAAACACTGAGCCACATTGCCAGCCTCAGGTTTTAGCACTTGACATTAGATGTAAAAGAAGATTCCTTCAAGGAAACTGTCATAGTCACTGCTCTTCTTCTGTGAAGAGTTACTCGACAGTTAGGGTTTCTATCGCCGTGAAAAGACAACACGACCACAGCAAATCTTCTAAAAGGAAACATTTAATTGGGGGTTGGCTTATAGTTCAGGGGTTTAGTCCATTATCATCACGGTGGGCAGCATGGCAGCGTGCAGGCAGACACAGCACTGGAGAGGTCTCTGAGAGTCCTGCATCTTGACTTCCAGGCAACAGGAAGAAATCTGAGACATTGGGCTCATGTTGGTATCTCAAAGCCTGCCTCCACAGGGACACACCTCCTCCAAGACCACACCTACCCCAACAAGGCCACACCTCCTATATTGCCACTCCCACGGGGGTGATTTTCTTTCAAACCACCACAGACACCATCGTTTTCAACAGAGAGATTAGAGGTGGACAGAGAAGTCACAGGGATACGGAGCGAATGGGACATGAGTGAATGGACACTTCCGTTTTTTCCTCCATACATTTGACTAGAAAGGGAGCAAAAATGTGAGCAGTGGCCAGAGGCCGCTGAAAGCAAGACAGGAGCAAAAAGCGACTTTTTCCTCTCGTTTCGTTTTGTTTGCATAAGGAATGTTTTGAGCACAGTTATGTGTTGTGTGTCAAAAGCTCACTTGGGGAAAAGGGTGCTGTGTGTGAAGAGATGGTTACTCACAGAGAACAGCTAACGTGGTCAGGAGAACAGACGAGGGACCAAGTCTGAATAGGAAAAGGTCTGTTCCCATACATGGTGGAGGGAAAGCTAACCGGGAGAGGTGAGCTTGCTGTCTGTCCCCCTTGCTGTGAGCAAACTGGAAGGAGGGCATTGTCGCACCTGCTGTGCGGCCTGCATCCGAGAATGTAGCGAGGTGGTCGGGATAGATGACACAGAGACCGGTCGGTTGCTTTAAGAAAACTATCTCCCCAAGTCAGCTTAGGAGGAGACCCCAGTCCGCTTAGCAGAGCTCTCAGTAGAAGTCCCAGGAGAAGTCTCCCCAAGAAAAAGGAGCTTCCCTTTTTAAGGACTTTTGCCATCCATTTACATACCATTCTTTCCACTTCTCACCTCCGGCCCCAGAATCGGGGAGACACCACAGGGGGCAGGAAGAGGCATCTAGCCGTAGGAGGTGTGAAAGGCATGGTATTTCAGTGAGCCAGCCCTTATCTGAGCCCTATCAAGCTTTAAAGCACTGAATTGTTTTCAGTAAACATTACATAGATGCCTGCTCCCAGGCCGAAGGGGAAGTGGGTTTCTGCTCAAGGTCTGGTGTCCCCACAGGCATCTGTTCCGCGTGAGATCCGTGGGTCAGAGTTAGCGATCCCAGAGGGAATGGCGAAGGCTGTCAGAGTGCCTGATGGGAAGGGAAACACGAGAGCACGGAGGATAAGCAGAGAGGTTGCTGAACCTTCCAGAGGCCCAGCCGCGACTGGAGGGGAGGGGTTTTAGAGACAGGAGCCAGGCTGCAGAACGGACTTTAGTGCAGTTTGTGGTTCACGTACCAGAGTAACATCTTAGGTACGCAGCGTATTTGCTACAGGACAGGGCTGTACTTCCACAGCAGTGGAAATAGAATGACTAAAAACACAGACCCTAGACACAGGGAATGGATCCTTGTCCTTGCTAGTATGCTAATATTCTGGAGACCTGAACGGAACTCTGGATGGAACTCCCCGCGCCTCAGCAGGAGGAGCAAGAGAATGCTTGGTCCCGGAAGACCCTCTCCGGGGCTCAGCAGACAGAGATGCAAATCATCAGCGATGCTTCAGGGCTGCCCAAAACGTAAGGCAAAGGTAGCACCCAACTCTGGGATCACAAATAAGTGAGACGCAAGGGAGAAGGAGCCAGAGAGAAGGCAGCAGGGATCGAACAGAGGTTGGACAGAAACATCCAAATAAATTGA